TACAAGCTTTCGATTTTTTATTATATTTTATTTATAAATAGACTGAAACATAATATAGAAAATAATAAATTAAAAAATTTAAGAATTAAGATCAAAGTGGCTGACAACAATTTGGGGATAGAATTTGATATAATGAGGAGTTTTTTAAACGAATAATTGTCTTGATATCCCCCTTCCCCTTGAGGTTTTTCTTTATGTTCTGTTAGCGGACCATTTGTTAATTTGTGTGGTGTGTTATATGAATGAGTTTATAAAGCGTGAGCTAATTTTGCTAATAGTACAAGTGACAAAATAAAATTATGACAAACTAGTCATTACAAAATGGTGAGCGATTACCCAACTAATCATCTTTCACCCCGAGTGGTGGAGGTAATAGTATGTCGGCAGATGATGACGGCAGGCCTTTCCTCCAATTGCGGTCTAATTAAATACCAGGTAATAAACGCTTGGTAAAATTGCGAATGGTTCTGTGGTAATAATATTGTTTTGTGTAATAGAGCGGGTAGTGTACCGGCGAGAGGGGGTCTAAATAGAATAAGGAGTGTATCAGAGGGCACCGTGACATGAATACAACTTGCTCCCCCTCAGTCGACTAGCTCTTGGATTGTTTGTCACTTGGTTCCCATTGTTTCTGCCGTCCGGCGAATTTCCGTGATAACACGGATATGGGAAAACCGGGCGGGACCGGCATTGGAAAACTGCTTTCAAGTCAATTTCCAGCGAACTGTGAATAATATAAAGCAATCAGACTGGAGCAGGTTCGTTCCCGGGCGTAATTCGCGATGTTTTCTCTGACAGGCGACCCCATCGTCCCTCTGGGAGTCGGTTCCCGTCAAACGCGAATTCCGATGTAATATGCACGTAGTGCTGGGGGAATTGGGCCGGAGTAGGTAATGATCCATGAAATTGGTCCATTTTAATATCTGAGTTTGGAGAAGAGGAAGAGTTTATAAAACGAGAAGGCCCAACTATCCATCAACCCAATCCCCTTCATTTATCGTCCAATCCAGGCATTAGATTAACCCTTTATATTTAAAAAAATCAGAATAGATTAACTTAGTAACAAACGACGATTTAAAAAAAGTTTAATTATACTGTTGTAGCAAATGAATGAACTTTTTTGTCCTCATCTTTTTATTTAAAACCAAACGTATAATATTACCGCTTTCTTTTGTTGCGTATTTTATAACTCCTTAAAAAGGATGAGGCTAATTAGAAAGCAAATACTCAGGCCCTTATTCCAGATTTTGAAATAAACCTCTTTCATCTGGAGTTCAACTACTCAATACAATAGTAATGTACGATCTGGTGATTTATGACCATAATTTTTAATTTCATTTTACTTGAAATCAGAGGTTTCAAAATGGTGAATGATGTTTAATGTTTTCCGAACCCGACACGTTTTCCGAAAAAATGGACTAACTACAATATTAGCTATCAGAATCAAACTAACACCGCAAAGTTCATATTCATAAATTCATAATCTTCACCCTCCCCGCATGAGTCTACCTCCAATGTAAGTCCCTTTCTCCTCACTGTCATATCATTGGGTAATCATATAGACAAGCGATAGACCTTCGATCCCCAAACTCGATTTTAAAAGATAAAACTGGACCTACTTGACAACACGTCTAAACTCTCCTCGACAACAAAATACTACTACCAAACCAAAACTGAAACCAATTTGAACTTACGTTACAGGCCTATGGAATTCAACTAAATCCTTCCAATCTATGCAGAACCCAGATCCTATAATAACTAATCCTTATATCTATCGTCAACCCACTGCACCATCCAAAACGACCGAAACGATCTCTTAATAAAGGATGCGGCAAGATCCGACTGCAAAATCCAAATTAACTTACTGTGGTTCCCTATGTAAAACAACTTTCCTCCCTATCTATTCCCAATCATCCTCCTTGGGGTGTAAACAGGCAGTGGCCCAGTTTCTTCTCTCAGAGAATGCGAGTGATAAATTGAATAAATGATTTAGGACAGCTATCACAGTATAGTGTTTTTCTTCTGGTGTTTCTTTTTATACTTGAGTTTGATTTGCTTGTCTCTTTATGCATGTATAATAATATCTATGTAAGTTAATGTGCCTCGCGCAGATGTTTGCTTAATAACAAAGTTTAATAGTTAATCATCCGATGAAGAAATTATTATTCCTCAAAAGCTCTACTTAAGAATTGTGTGGTTTATTTGTAAACAGTTCTAGTTCCTTGAACGTTTTTGCTGCTGTGATTGTACTTAGGTGAAAATAAACCGAGCTGACAAATCTTTAGTTAATGTATTTTCTTTCGATAATGGTGTAGATAGGTTATATATTTTTCATCAACGTGTGGGAAGAGATTAATGAAGCTATTGGCCGGTTCAATCATTTAACTTGAGAATGCCCACGATCCAGTTTAAGAGTGTCTTTTTGTTGGGCGGTACCTACAGTTTTTGAACAAAAGGAGGTGTAACATAAGCGACCGGATGTATCTCGTGTAAGTGGTTCAAGCCCTCAGGGGAACTATACAAGATAATGTTGCCAGCCAACTAAAAGCTCCGGCCAACTTCACTTCTCCACTTCGTAAATTAGTCAGGGAGGAGAAGAGCCCCGCCCATCAGCCCCTAAGAGTAACAGATTCTAAGAGGCAGGTTAAGAAATCCTTTAGCAATTAATTTGCTGCCGGGAATTCGGAATTTCCTCCCAGGCCGTAGAGCTGCAGTTTGTCAGGAATATAGTCGTTGATCCGCTAATAACCCAGGCTTGACTAATGGTTATATTTAGCTTGTAGCATATTAATGATTTCCTGGATCGAGATCAAAGCGCCTGAGCGAGGAATATTAGAGAAATGTACACAAAGTTACGCTTAGATTTACAGTTATAAAATCTTTTCATTTTTCTTTTTAACGCTGCGCATAAAATGACACAATATTTACTTTGCTGATCAAGTAGTTCAAGCATAAAAAAATTAAATATGCGCATATGAAAAGAGAAGACTTAATTAGCCGAAATATAAACTTGAAGCCACCATGACTTCATAAAGTAGAACACTCATAAATATTTAACTCAAACTTATAAATGAGCAATAATGCTAAGGTTTTCCCTTATAATTAAATAGTTTTATAAAGAAAGTACGATGGACAAATAAATCAAGTCCACCCTCTAATAATAGCATCCTAATTCATCATCTTTCTTATAAATGAAATACAATTCCTTTCTTATTGCAGAATCAAATTTAAATTCACAGAGTTAACGGCGATTTTTTAAAATCACAAAACGTTTTCAAATTTTGTTGGATAAATATTGACTTTAATTTAATCATACGTCTACCAAATGACATCACATTCCAAGTTGAATGACGTTACAAACAAAGATTATAATTGTCTAAAAACAGAAATGGGGTCGAAATTTATTATTACCAAGAAAGATATCGACAGGCCTACATTTTGGATTACTGAACCAATTTATGTTACATTTATTAATTTACGAAAAAACCTATTGATTGCCCTATCGATGAGAAGTGTGGCAAAATGGTTGAGTGTAATAATCATTTTGGCTGATTTATCCCAAAAGCGTAAACAATGAAAATACAGATATTTCAAAACTTTTATATATATATAAAAAAAGTGACCAAAAATTATATATATAAAAAATAATAATATTAGAGTTGTTCTAATCAGAGGTTTAGAGTAAAACCTGTAGGTAGTTAGGGGTGATTGATTTGATTCAAATGAAAGTTTTGAGTTTTTTATTGTTTCGCATCCTATTCTAGGTTTGTCGCATAAAATATAACAAAGCGAAGGATTGAACAAAGCTGGAAAATTTATTGTGTTATGAACTGTAGGTTCAAACTTTGGCTGACATGTTTGACAATCAAATAATAAATGTTTCTCTGGATGGATCCCAGTTGATGAACAGTCGTCAGCTTTATCATTAAGGGCCGTCCCGAAATCTACCTGCTATGGCAGGGCTTTCATTTGTCAAATGAGTTTTGACAATTTTGAATCGTCCATTGTAGCGTACAATTCAGTTTTACAGTGTATACTTTAACGAAATACAAACAAGCCCATCAATACACATAATATAGTTTAAAACTTATATCATAAAATAAAATATACAGATAAATATAATTCCTAGGCGGACGTTAAAGAGTACTAATGGGAAATAAAAACTTTTAAAACGTTTTAAACTTTCTTAAATTGTTTGGGTTTATAAATTTACACGAAACGCAAAAACTGAGACTGAATTGAAAAAGGTAAGTTCCAAAAGTTTTATGTTCGTATTCCAAGCAAAATTTAGAATAAATTCGCATGGACAAACTTTGAAACTTTCTTGATCTGATCCACACAATCTTGGCAAATAAGCATTATTTTACCAAACATTGATTGAGTGATAACATATTTAGCCAAATTATTGATTGTTTATTAATCAGTTCTACATTTTTATCCTTATAAATCTAAATTTGGTAACTATATTCTTTATTAATTTTTAAATATTACAATATCGTTTACTGGGACCGCGGTTGCCAAGTGGCTAGCAAGTCAGTCTCTCGACTCGTAGACTCCGACGGTCGTGGGTTCGATCGCTACTGGAATTGGTGAACCCACTCTTCCCCCAAACACTTGTATTCATTTATTTTCAAATAATTAACGTGTCCAACATATTTAAAACATAGGACCACACAAAAACAATCATAGAAAAAAGTAAAGAGATAATGTTATCAACAGTATATCTATTAATATTGTAAGTAAAAATGAGGCAAAATATATATAAATATAAAATGTTTTAACTACAATTCAATTCATCTAATTACTGATTATAACTATTTGTCAAAGTATTTCTTAAATTAAATATTCAAAAAACCTTTTACCATGCGAAGCGGTAAAAACAATTAAACTTTGGTAATGATCATGCAGTCTAGAATAATTATAATCTAATTAATTGATGTAAATATTAATAAAAAGAGGTTTTATAAAAACGTTTTTTGAATTTTTGAATTTCAATTTACCTTTCGAATGAGGGTCTCCACGGATTCCTCCATGGTGTTGTCCAGTCTGGGTCCCGGTTGCACCATGTGTAGCCCTGCCACCTCACTCATAACACTACACTTCAAGTGTTTCCCACATCACTTCCCTCTTCCCATTTGACAATCTCGTCGCCCCTGACGAAGGAAAAATGATCGTAAATAATTTCGGTGATGCTGTTTCTTTCCTTAGTCGGTCACTGATGCACCCTATCCCATCGAGAAACTAGGTTTCAACTTATGCAGTATGTTATCCAAGAGATCAAAAGGACGCTTATAGAAATATTTACATACAGAAAAAACTGTTGAAGATAGACAAACAATAATGGTGAAAAATCTTAAAATTGAGTTGGAGGCCTTCAACCCGCTGGAAACTTTTCTCCCCGCCTTTCCTTTAGCACAATAGAAGTGATTTCAGTAAACCGATTTAAAAGTTTTCAGACAGTTAAGTTAATTTTTAATTCTAGGACTTTCCTCATCCTCGACGTCGGTGGCGGACCCTTCTCGAAAATCTTTTAGAAATGAAGTTAAGACTCTTAATTACCCTCTTATTGAGGCACCGAGACGTTCCGACCCTCCAGACGCCCGTTAAAATTCGATTTTCGAGCCCCGCTATGAAGGTTGTTTCATAGTTTCTGCACCTTCAGAAAATTTAAAATTAATTATCAACATAATACATTTAAAGGAATGCAGTTATACATTTACTGTAAGCCTTGAAATCTAACCAAAGCCGTTTTGAACTGTTGTTAATCAAAACGAATTAGATACATATTTTCTTAGAGTATGGATGCCGTTAGAAAATAAAGTAGACAAAATTTACGGTAAAGAGGAAAACAAACAATAGCCAATCTATAAAAAAAAATGAATTGAGCATCCACTGGAACGAAAGAAACATATCTAAATTATATAAATTTAAAAAAGACATCAGTCCCTGCCTGCGGAGAGACTGGGTCTAGAAGGGAAAGGTCATCTCAGGTCGCGCATACGTCATACCATAATCACACACGGTAATCTTATAATGGGAATGAGACCACGTAGGTGTCCGTTCTGTTGAGAACATATCACGGTAGAGCACGTCAAGTATAGTGTACAAAGAATTAAATCTGAAAAGAATGATGACCTATGGGAGGTCTTGAAGGACAGCAGCAGGCACAGATCTCTGATCCAATATCTCAGTGCCATAAATATTTGTAATGGCATATAGATCTTTATACTTTCATGTATGTGATATGTGTTATACACTGGTACGAATGTTTTTATTTGCGTGAATGGCAGGGTCATCCCCAATTACCCCGAGGAATATCTAGTGCTCTGGGATATTGTAAATTGATGTGTTAATGTAATTTATTAGCGTGAATGGCAGGGTCATCCCCAATTACCCCGAGGAATATCTAGTGCTCTGGGATATTGTAAATTGATGTGTTAATGTAATTTATTAGCGTAATGGCAGAGCTTATCCCTAACTACTCCGAGAAATTAGTAGTATTATTCTGGGGTAGTATATATAAGTTCGTGACATGTGTATGTAATTATTAGGGTGAATGCACGGTTTATCCCAATTACCTCGAGGAATATCGAGAACTCTGGGATAATGTAAATTGATGTGTTAATGTAATTTATTAACGTGAATGTCAGGGCTTATCCCTAACTACTCCGAGAAATTCGAGTACTGTGATGTAGTGAGAACGCTAACCAAACTATCATATTTTTTGGTTTCTGTGTAATTTTGTTTATTATTTGTGTTGTTTTATCCACGATTGACGTGGTCATGAGATACCGAGAGGCTAGCATTAGGATGAAGAAAAGAAAGAATTTGTTACTGTTATAAAAAGGTAATAAAATACATAACTTGGGAGGAGAATCGGTAAAAGAAATTAGTAGGTTTAAAACGCGAGTAAAATAAGAAAAGAAATGCAAAGTTAAAGGAAAGAGGGCTGGCGATGGCAAATGTAGTTTACAGGCCTTAAAACTAACTAATTAAAAAAAATTAATGTCCGGCATTATATGACGTTTCAGCCAATCGACTAACCACGTTATGAATCAAATATGTTTTCCTCGAAATATACGAGTACTAAACCAAAAGTAAACCATTTTTAAAAATAAATTTTTATCCGGTAAAGAAGCATTTTGAACATAGATATTTGTGATTTACAATGAAATGCATTCAACGATTAGATCTATTTACTATTTAAAAGAATTGATATTTACAACAATTTAGGTATTTCAGCGAACTAACCGCCAAAAAAAAAAAAATTAAAGTGAGGAAACAGCATAACAACCAATAAAACCTTATAAAATAAGTTCTTGAAGTTGAAAACGTTTGAAAATGTAACTGGAAAATTAAGTAGAAAACATTACCTAAACTATTTCAAATAGAAAGAAAAATACATCCAAAATCTCTGCCTCAGCAAGCAAGCATATTGAGGTTATTGTTTATCAAATTATCTGAATAAAATAGGCAAACCTAATAAACTTTCTAATTATGTTAAAAAAGATAGAAATATTAATACGTTTCATGTGACCGTGATATTCGGCCCTTCCATTTTGGAAAGGCAATAAGGGCGCACATAGATATTAGCAAATTGGCAGAAATATGCAAAATCAACCTAATCGGGGACTTCAATCGAAAACACTATCTAAACGGTTTCAAATGGAATGACAAATGTATCAAACATGTCTCGCTCAGCACCAAAAATATGAAGGATGACTATTCGTTTTAGTATTTTTGGAAATTACTTGTTTTTATAGCCATTCAGTGGTTATTACTAATCAAACTGTCACCTGAATAAAATAGGAAACACGAACTGATACTTTTTAACCAAAAGTAAAGATAACGAATCAAGTCTACATTGAAGTGCCATTTGGAAAGGCAATAAGAACAACCCAACAATTAGCAAAGTGGCAACGAATTCCCAAAGTAAAGTTTTTCTTACTTTGAATACAAAGCAGACAAATTTGAACTATAAGATTGCAGTGGACTAGGAGAAAAATCACACCTATTGTTTCATAAAAGACAAATAACTTACGAACGTTAGTGGAAATAGGTAGATTGAAAAGATCTGACGTTAACTCAATGTTAATAATCCCAAAGGAAGCTGAGATTTGTCAGTAATAAATATATCATAGTCGACCGCGATGTGAATCGGGGATAGGCCGATGAAATCCCAGGTAGAAATAAATTCCCTCGAGCGTCCCGCCTCATCCGACTTGCCGTGATTTACAAGCTGGTGGTAAGGGGGGGTGGATAAGTTGTGACGTCACGGGATTTATTCGCCACCCCACGCCCGTATCGGGGACGGCCCTTGAGTTCCAGGACGCCCTTCCTGTTTTCACAGATCTCACTTCATCCTCACAAAGAAGGCCGCCTATAGTTCTGTATTTTATGGCCTTGCGTTAAACTCGGAGGGCTCGTAAATAAGGAGAGTGAACACGATATTACCATCACGTCCAACGGCGAATATATCCAATCTTCGAATAACACCGATCCCTCATTCAATTTCTGTCAGGCCGTTGCTGACGGAACTCAAGAGGGGCTTTTCCGAACGCAAACACTCGCTTTGAGAAACCTTTTATCAACAACCCCTTTTCTTTCTAACCTTCTTCACACTGTGCAATTGGCAGGTAAGATTCTAAAAAGCAAGCCAAATTCTAGGTGATAATAGAAATGCCATCCGAAAGAATACACGTAGAATGTGCAAGACGTATTTTATAAAAGTCTCTTCTGGCTTCTAGATCAATTATTTTTAATTTTTAAAATGTTTAATGGACTCATTTCCATTTCTTCCTATCAATATTGTTCGGTAATTATTTTTGTATAAAGAAGTTCCTTATCAGCTTACATCGTAGCTAACTGAACGCCACCGAAAATGACAGTCGATCACACAAAATCCAGATGTACGTTTCAAACAAATATCTGAGACATTGGATAGAAGGATTTTAAGGTCAGCAGGCCGATTGGTCGCATTCTCAGATCAACAAAAGCCCAGAGTTAGGTTTTTAAATATTGAAGTTAAACCCATTTAAAACTTTTATAATTAAAGGTTTTAGTTAATTTATAAGGAAAGGTAATAGGTTAAATAACGTCAATTATTTTTTATAATAAAACAGAGTTAGATGATTACAAGTTATTTACATTTTATTAATTACAGAACAGATATAAAGAGTTGCTAATGCCCTCTAGATGATCCAGGTGATTATGAGTATTGTCTACCTCCAAATATGTTTGTGTATTACATGTAAATGTATATATTACTAATAAAGACTGCCATTATTATATTTTATTAACAGATGCGAATGATCTATAAACAAACCATATGAGGAAGAGGTTATTTATTAGCTATGATATATCAACCTTCCCCATTTTAAGATATTCGGTTAAAAAAGTACGTTTAGTGTAAAAGAGAAAATGATCTAATATAAATAGATACGAGGTAGATAATATACGTTTGTTGCTAAACGATTTGATGCCCTTTATTGAATAGGTCGCGTGAGGCGTTTTAGAAGTACTATTTTGAAATTAAGTGTTTTTGCACTTATGTTGAATTGTATAAACAATATTAAAACCGATTTAGTTACTGGAATAGTTAGACCTTTTATCAGTAACAAAAACGTAGTTCTATACGCCCAATAGAAACTACTATTACCAGGGGTTTCTCTGTGATTCTTTGAGCGTTACTATGTTCGGAATACTCAAAGTCATCCCTTTGGAAGTGGAAATGCATGATTGAATCTGTAGAGGGTAGCCCTTGTTGAGCGTTTTCCATAAAATATAAATCCTTTGGGTGTGTGCAGGTCTTGTGATAGCTAGTCACAAGAAGAGATGGCCAACCCGTCCCTCGTGGCCAATAAATACATATCTGTCAGATTGCACTTACACATATAAAACGCGGAAAGAGAAATTGGCCGATTCACGGAAAATGTTTTCTTTTTCTTTAAAGGAAAATACTTTTAATAGAAGGCTAACAATTTAAATGATACAAATCAAAAAGTGTTAGGGAAATGAATAGGTCGATGTCGAGCGCAAGGAGGAGGATTATTAATCATTCGTTGACAGGAAAGAGACATAATTCAGAGCAAAACGTTCTTTTCCTTCTCTCCTACTTGAATTCCGCGCTTACTTTTTCGTTCACAACCACAAC